CACCAAGATGACGTCACCTGGCTGGAAACTCAACTCGTCCTCACTCCTGGCGTTGAATTCAAACAGTGCACGGTACTTTGTCGTGCCTTCAGCGCTGGCTAGTGGCAATGCATTGCCAGACACGCTATCTGAAAAAAGCGGCGCTGACAATTGGAATAGCATAAGTCGCATATTTAAAAGTCCAAAATAGTCCTACAAGTGCCTACCTTGTTTCACAGGTGCTTCAGCTCTGTTATTACTTGATTCATTAGTCGTTGCATTAGCAGTAGGAGCCGGGAACACTTCACCGAATGCCTGCGCTTGAACAGCACTAGCTGCTTCCTCGGCTGCACGACGTCTACATTCAAGCTCCCGTTCAGCTTCTTCTTTGGCCTTAGCTTCCGCTGCGAGCCTTGCGTTCTCCGCATCTCGTTCCGATAATTTTGTGCGAGCCTTAACAATGAACTGTGCGAGCCTTAAAAAAGCACTGATTCTGAAATATTGTCGTAGGAGCAGTATTGTAAGTAACATTTGGACCTCGAACCCCGCTAAGTGTAACGTTCCGACGGTTTTTCATTACCTGCGTCTGTAAATCGGCAAGTGTATGCAGCACTCTTCGATAATCATCGCGTGCCTTTACCAGCTCTGCTCGTGCAGTCTCGTACTCCTCGGTTTTCTGAATAACTGAACATATGCAACTGGAAGCATTGAGCATTTTTTTCCATGCGGAGCATGGACGAATTAAGACTTTCCCACGGCCCTGTACTCTAACCCCGTGCAGTTTCGGGCGGGGAAACCACGACACATCGACAGCTGGGGGGCTGATAGTCACATACACCCTCAATGTGTGTGAGCGTACCATGTGTCTTTAAGGCAAAGATGAGATCCTCGATAAATCCCCTGGAAGTGTAGGATTAGCACGACTAGCAGGACGGAATTCCGCGCTCCTGAGCGCGTGTGGTGTCTTTTCCGAAGAAGCTATTCTTATAGCGCCCTATTCAGCTGCAACGTACCGACCCGGACGCCCACCACGCCCGTCCGCCCACAAATGGACGACCGTACCTGATGCTCGTATTGCTTCATTTGCTAAGTTAAACATGAAACGAAGGAGTTAATATGAAGCCGCGG